CCCCTTCTCCCCCGTCTCCTCTTTTTTTTTCTTCTTCTTTTTTTTTTTCTTTTCCCTACACACACAAAAAAATGCTCACGCACACATACACATACACAAACACACACACACACATGTACAGTACATATATAAAAATATATATCGCTTCTCCCTCCTTCCTCCTTCCTTTCCCTTCCCCCCTCCTTTCTCTCTCCCTTTCCTCTCCCTGATCGCCTTCCTTCCTTCCTCCCCCCCTGCTTCTCTCCGCTGCGATAGCACACGTGCCAAACGAAGGATCTAATCCCTTACCATTAATTAAAACCTCCGAAAAGGACCGCAGTATTCCCTCTCCCTTCCCCTCCCCTCCCTCTCCCTTCCCTTCCCCTCCCCTCCTCTCCCTTCCCTTCCCCTCCCCTCCTCTCCCTTCCCTTCCCCTCCCCTCCTCTCCCTTCCCTTCCCTTCCCCTCCCCTCCTCTCCCCTCTCCTTTTCTGAAAGCCCCCTCTCCTGCCCTTCAAATCCCCCTCCCCTTCCCCCTTCCCCTTCTCCTCTTTCTCCCTCCTTCCCTCCCCCTAAAACCACCTCCCTTACCCCTAAATTTCTCTCTCTCCCTTAACCTCCCTCCCTTAGCTTTCTCAATAATATACCGATGAAAACAAAAAAATAAGAGTAAAATCGCTCCCTCAGAGTGGTCCTCCTTCCCTTTCCTTCCCACTTCCCTTTCCGTCTTTTCACCTCTTCCCTTCCCTTCCCTTCACCTCTTCCTTTCCCTTCCCTTCCCTTCCCTTCCCTTCCCATCCCATCCTTTCCCATCCCTTCCCTTTTCATCCCATCCCTTCCCTTTTCATCCCATCCCTACCCTTCCCTTCTCTTCCCTTCTCTTCCCTTCTCTTCCCTTCCCTTCCCTTCTTCCCTTCCCTTCCCTTCCCTTCCCTTCCCTTCTTCTCTTCCCTTCCTTTCCCTTCACCTCTTGGCTCCCATCCCCCTCCCCCTTTCCTCCCTAATGTCGACCGTCAGCCGCCGCCTTGATTTCAGTTTGATGGATCTCCCGGCTTGAGTGAGCGCCGCGGCAAAGCTTTCGGGGTATCGCGATCGGGGATTTGTGCTCGCCACGCGCACGCGCACGCACGCTTCTATTAGGGAGAGAGAAACAGACAGGGGGGGGGGCAGTGACTGGGAGTGGGAGAAAGGGAGGGAGTGGGGATGTGTGTGTGTGTGTGTGTGTGTGTGTGTGTGTGTGTGTGTGTGTGTGTGTGTGTGTGTGTGTGTGTGTGTGTGTGTGAGTGTGAGAGAGAGAGAGAGAGAGAGAGAGAGAGAGAGAGAGAGAGAGAGAGAGAGAGAGAGAGAGAGAGAGAGAGAGAGAGAGAGAGAGAGAGAGAGAGCACGCGTGCCCGTTAATATAATCATATCTCTTTAAATCTAAAAGATAAATTCCTTTATCCCCTTTCCCTCCGCACCTGGATCTCTCTCTTACTCTCTCCCCCACCTCCTCTTTCGCCAGGCAAACAAGGCAACGCAAACACGCAGGTACACACGCTAAATGCATCTCGGAAATCAGTCTCCGCGGGGAGTCCCCATCTCAGGTGTTTTTTTCATCACATTTTTGCCCTTTTCTGTGGCCTTTTTTTCTGTTTCTCTTTATTTTGACTTCCTTCTTGGCTAGTTTCTCTCATTCTCTCTCTCTCTCTCTCTCTCTCTCTCCCCCCCCCCATTCCTTCCCCCTCTCCTCTGCACTCCTATCTTCCCTTCCCCCCCTTTCTTCTACCCCCTCCCTCCCTCCTCTCCCCCAATCTCCTTCCCCCTTCTCCCCTTCCACCCTCCCATCCCCTCCCCCACCCCCCTCTTCCTCACCACGGACAAATTAGGTCGGTGACAACAAACCCGAAGCCCCCCCCCGCCTCCCCCCCCCCTTCTTTGCCTCGTAATCATCCTCGTCTTCCCTCTTCTATCCCCCCCCCCCCCAACTCTTTCTCCTCGTCACTCTTTCTCCTCTTCTTTCCTACCTCCCTCCTCGCCCTCCCTAGCCCTTCCCCTTCCACCCTCTCCCTCTCTCCCTCTCTCCCTCTCTCCCATCTCCCACTCTCCTCCTCTTCCCTAATTCACCTTCCCTCTCTCCCCTCCCCCTTCACCTCCCTCTCCTCCTCCTCTTCCCTAATTCACATTCACTTTCCCTCTTCCTCTCTCCCCCTCCCCCTCCTCCTCCTCTTCCCTAATTCCCCTTCCCTCTCTCCCTCCCCCTCCCCCTCCCCCTCCTCCTCCTCTTCCCTAATTCACCTTCCCTCTCTCCCCTCCCCCTCCCCCTCCCCCTCCTCCTCCTCTTCCCTAATTCCCCTTCCCTCTCCCCCCCCGCCCCCCTTTACCTTCTTTAATATCCAGACCTTTCGGTACAAAACATCATAGAGCCATCGCGGGGGGAAAGGAGGGGGGGGAGGAGAGGCAGGAGGGAGAGGAGTGGAAGAGGGAGAAAAGATAATTGGGGACGAAAAAGAAACTGGAGAAGAAGAGGAGAGGAAGATGAAGGGAGAATTGGAGACGGAGAAGTAAGGTGGGAGGAAGGAAGAGGAAAGAGAAAAAGAAATGAAGGAGTGAAAAGAGGAGAAGGGGGGAAGAGACATCAAAAAGGAACAAAAAAAAATGAAGAAGGAAGAGGGAAATAAAAGGCGAAAAAAAAGAAAAAGGAGAAAAAAACGAAAAGGAAAACAAGACCATATATAAAAATATAAGACAAGACAACAACAAAAAAAAAAAAACAAGTAAAAAAAAATAGAAGTGGAGAAGGCAAAAACGAGATTGTCCTTCAATGGGAGCGAGTGAGGCCGTTTTCTTACCCGAGTCACGTGTTATGTCTGGGGGAGGGGAGAGGGGAGGGGGAGATGGAGAGGGGAGATGGAGAGGGAGAGGGGAGGGGGAGGAGGAGAGGGGAGGGGGAGAGGGGAGATAGAGAAGGGAGATGGAGAGGGGAGGGGGAGTGGGGAAGTGGGGGATTGGGAGGGAAGGAGGGAGGGAGAGGGAGGGAGAGAAGGAGGGAAGGAAGGAGACGAGAGTGAGAGGGAGGGAGATGAGGGAGAGAGGCAAACAGACAGACAGATCAACACACACACACACACAGAGATGGAGAGAGAGAGAGAGAGGAGAGAAGAGAGAGAGAGGAGAGAGAGGAGAGATGAGGAGAGGAGAGAGAGGAGATAGAGATGAGAGAGAGACGAAGAGAGAGAGAGAGAGAGAGACATCGATATATGATATATCGTGTGCGTGTGTGTAAGGCCGGGAGGGGGGGGTAGACGGAGTGGTGGGGGGTAGAGGCTGCCAGGGTACATTCAACACTGCATTACATAATCACACATTATCTTTCTCATTATCACTCATTATCTTATTATCTCACCCCCTCTCGTCGTTCCACCCCGACTCTATTTGTCTATCTATATATCTATCTATCTGTCTCTCTCTCTCTCTTCCTCTCTCTCTCTCTCTCTCTCTCTTTCTCTCTCTCTCTCTTCTCTCTCTCTCTCTCTCTCTCTCTCTCTCTCTCTCTCTCTCTCTCTCTCTCTCTCTCTCTCTCTCTCTCTCTCTCTCTCTCTCTCTCTCTCCTCTCTCTCTCTCTCTCTCCTTCTTCTTCTTCTGCCATCTGCCTTCATCTCCCTTTCTCTTCGTTTCTCTCTCTCTCTCAGTCTTTCTGTTTACACATCTGCCTGGCTCTCTTTCGTTCTTTCAACTCTTGTCCTTTCTCTTTCTGTCTCCTCTCCCTCTGCCTTTAATTCTCCCTCCTTCTCCCTCTTTCTCTTTATCCTGTTTTCTCCTTTCACTTCCTTCGATCCCTCTCTCGTTTTATCCGCCCCCCTCCTTCCATTTCCTCTCTTCGTCTCTCCCTTCCCTCTATCTTCCCCTCCGTCAACCCCTCTCTGCCCCTCCCCTTCCCCTTCTTCCCTTCCTTTTCTCCGTCCCTCCCTCCCCCCTTCCCCCTCTCTTACCTACAGCGTCCTTGCACATCCCCCTAAAGACCGTGCAAGCAGTCACGTGCTTGACTGAGGGAGCGTATTTGTACCGAAATCAGTCACGTGTTAAATTCCTGCTGAATCACAAGCACCTCCCCATCCTCCCCCCCTTCCCCCCCACCTCTTCACTCTTCCCCTCCCCACGCCGGCCTAGGCCCCTCTCCTACCCCCTCCCCCCCGTCCTCCGCTCCTCCCCCTACCACTTGAGTCCCTCGTCTCCTCCACCCCCTTCTTCCTACCTCTTCACCCCCCCCTTCCCCCACTCAGTGCCTCAGCCGCTGTCTTTGTTTTTAACTGTTTCTTGTGGACTTCATCACTTTCTGAGATTATATTTTGATGTTTTGTTTGCCTTATATTCCCTGGTGATGATAATAATGATAATAACAACAACAATAATAATAATAATAATAATAAATAAAAACAACAGCAACAAAACAACAACAATAATAATAGTGTTAATAATAACAGCAGTAATAATAATAACAATAACAATAAAACTAGTAATAATAATAACAAAAACAACAATAATATTAATGATAATGCCAATGGCAATAAGTAACAATAAGAAGGGTCATAATAATAACAACAACAATAAGACATGCACGCAAACGAGAAACTCGCTCAACCGGCGGCGCAACGAAATTACATATCATGCAATGATAAAGAACCCGATTAAATGGAAGGGTGAATAAATAGGTATATGTATGAATGGGTGAAAACGAAAAGGAAACGAACCATTTGCTCGACAACAAAGACAAGAAGATTGAAACAAATAACACAAAATGAAAGCTAGTTATGACCAGCAAGACACAAGAAAACCCGTTTACGAGCAAGTACGAATAAACAAAAACAAATAAACAAAACCCCCCAACAAACACACACACAACAAAGACCCCCCCCCCAAAAAAAAAATATATATATATATATTAATAATAAAAGGGAGAAAAGAGTAACAAACGTACAAACGCATTCACGCGCGCAAGCATATAGGCCTACTCACACACACCCAAAAGCGCTTGCCTTCCGCCTACCTTTCTGCAGGCAGTACACCGCCACTATTTCATCACCTGCAACACCGAGCAAAGAAAAGGTGTGGTGACTGGTAGCAACAACAATTTGCAACAAAGAATAAAAATTGGCAAAAAAGACAAAGGACAAACGAAGACAAAAATGGCGGGGGGGGGGGGGGGGGGTATTTGTGCCATCTTAATGTTTCTAATTTTCATCTTTTCTTTATTTTCATGCTCTTTTTTGTCTGAAATGATTACGGAATAGCGGAAAATACACATTAGAATTTAATGTCTTGCTTCTTTCTTCTTGACAAAAGTTTAGCTCACAGTTTGTAGACGAAAAATTACAAGCGGTATAAAGATTTAGAGATACAAGAAAGATGTCGCCCTCATAACAAAAAAGCAAACAAACAAATACACACACCACACAAACACAAACACAAAGCCAAACATACACACACGCAGGTACAGACACACAGACACACCCACAGACACAGACAGACAGACACACACACACACGAAAAATACTCTTATCTGCCCGTACACACGCACATATATACACGATACAGACACACACACTGAAGACGCCTTTGAATTTGCTTTACTCTTAAGTGACTAGACATATCCCTTTCTCATTGCTTTATTGTCATTTTCACCCCCCCCCACACACACACACACTTCCTCCTTTTATTCTTCCCCTTCCCCTCCCCCATCAAGCTCACTCTTCCCCTAAAACCCCAGCTCAACTCTCCTCCCGTCCAGCTCCCTCCCTCCCCCGGTGCAGCTCAAGCAGACCCTTTTTCGGTCCAGCCACGGCCGCCTGGCTTGATTTTGCCTCTGTTTTGTGGGTGACTCTTGCCCCCCCTCCCCTCCCACTTTCCCTTAACACCCTTCCCCTTCCTCTCCCTTCCCTATCTCCCACTCCTCTCCCCCTCCCCATGCTCCTTCCCCCTCTCAAAATTCCCTCCTTTCATCCTCGCCTCTTCCCCTCTACTCTCCCCCTCCTCACGCACCCACCCACCCACATTCACACGCGCGCATACCAGCATACATACAGACACTGTGCACCTACACACACAAACACAAACCCTCGCACATACAAACGCACACTCATTTCCTCCTCAAAAACCCTCCTACCATTCCCTCCTTTTTTTTCTCAGCCTTTGCCTCATTTCACATCTGTTTTCTTCCGCGTTGTTCCCATCATCATCAATCATATTTCCCTCATTTTTTTTCGTTTTTTTTTTTTCTCAGTTCAAATACATTGCTTTTTCATCCTTCCTATCCACCCTTTCTTCTCCTTCCTTATTCTTCCATGAACCGAGACGGATTTCTTAAAAAAAAAAAACTTGTAATCATCGACACCTTAATCTTATTCCTCTTATTCCTCATTATCACCGTCCTTCTGTCTCCTCCCATCCCATTCCTCATCCTCTCATTCGAGACATACTTGTACATTCTTCCTTCTGTTCTTATCATCACCACCCTTATTTTATCATCATCCTCATTACCATAACCATAATCATCACTCCTCTCTTTCCCTCCCTCTTCCATATCTTCTCTATCTTCACCTCTCTTACCATCATCCTCACTACCATTATTATTACTGTCGTTCTCATTACTTACTTTATCGCCCTCTCATCGCACCCTTATCTTTTGACAGCCCACATGAGGGTCCAATTCTGCCTCATTCGTGGAGGGGCGGGGGGGGGGGGGCGAGGGGGAGAGGGGAATGCTGTATATGAGAATTATGAGAATAGGGAGAAAGGGAAGAGGTGGGCAAAGAAAGAGAGAGGAAAAGGGAGAAAGAGAGGGAGTTAAAATGAAAATGAGAGAGGAAGAGAGGGGGGAGAGGAAGAGGGAGAGAGGCAGAGGGAGGGAGGGAGGGAGGGAGGGGGAGAGAGAGAGAGAGAGAGAGAGAGAGAGAGAGAGAGAGAGAGAGAGAGAGAGAGAGAGAGAGAGAGAGAGAGAGAGAGAGAGAGAGAGACAGAGAGAGAGAGAGAGAGAGAGAGACAGAGAGAGAGAGAGAGAGAGAGACAGAGAGAGAGACAGAGAGAGAGAGAGAGAGAGAGAGAGAGAGAGAGAGAGAGAGAGAGAGAGAGAGAGAGAGGAGAGAGAGAGAGAGAGAGGGGGGGGGGGGCCTGCATAATCGGTCCAACTGAGACGTGCAGTTAGGGAGAGAGGGAGAGAGGGGAAAGAGGGTGAGAAAGCAAGAGAAAGAGGGAGAGAGGACGGATGAGAGGGAGAGGGGGATTACACAGGAGAGAGAATGGAAGAGGTAGAGGGAAGGGGGGTAAAGTGTGAAGAGGGAAGGGGAGAGAGAACGCAGGTACAGGGAAGACAGAGGCGAAAAGGTAGACGAAGTGGAAGGGGGAGGGGAGGGGGTGTACAGCGAAGACGGAGAGTGGAGTAGGGAAAGAAGGGGGAGAGGGGGAGAGGGGGGAGAGGGGGAGAGGGGAAAGGCGAGCCGGAGAGAGGAGAGAGTACATAGGAAGAATAGAGGAAGGAGGAGAGAAGGGGT